TTTTTTAAATTCTCTCCCACAAATTAGTTATTTTAAGGAACTGAAAAATAAAACTATGGCATTCATTCCTTGAGTTATTTTGTCAAATATATCTCGGTGTAAATTGCATTTGTATTTTTTGCACTAGAATCCTTCTTTCAGTCTCGTATTTCTGACAGTGCAGTATAACATGTTCCACTGTTTCTTCTTGTCCACAAAATTCACACCTTCCCGTATCATGTTTACCCATTTTAAAAAGTGTACTATTTAATCTTGTGTGTCCAAATCTCATCCTTGGTATTACTATCTCATCTCTCCTGTTTTTCCCTGCACTTCTCATCTCTCCCACTTTCCTTTGAATTCTGTAAAACCATCAACCTTTTTCCTCCTTATCTCATTGTTTTTGCCACCTTTCCTTCAGTCTTTTCTTAATAATACTCTTGATTTCATTCTTACTTATATTAATAATTAAAGGTGCAATAGGTGATTGCCTTCAGAAACATTTTTTGTTATGCTGGTTGAAAGTGTCATCACATCCCGATAACAATCATTAAGTTAAAGGGGTCATATGATGCGATTTCAAGTTTTTCTTTCTCTTTGGAGTGTTACAAGCTACGCACCCCGTTCGCGCCATAGACTGTGAAAAAAGATGGACGACGCACCTTCACTCTCTTTCATTGAAGAAAAGTGAAGCCGCCAGTGGCCCTATTGGCCCATATTGTGCTTATTTGGGACCAGAGTCTGCGCAGTAGTGAACTCGGGACCCGAGTCTGCGCAGTAGTGAGAGAAGTGGCGCCGCGTCATGCCCTATGGTCCCGCCCACACTCCAGCAGAGACGATCGCAAGCACACGCCCCTGGGACCATTTTTTAATTACCCTGACTGCTCCAATTTTTGTCTGCCGTGCAAGAGGCTTGTTAAAATAAGGTAAATACAACTACTAACCGCATAGTTGTACTTAAAAAGCAACACATATTAATATATATTGTAAAATACTAGTAACTTAATTTTTGTTTTATTACAATTAAACAACTATCACAATTTTTTGGACAGCTAAATCAGTGTCATCCTTCACTCAAGCGGTCCGTTTTAGCTAGGTTAGCACCCTAACATTTATGGTTAACACATACATTCAATATGTTAGCAACTTATTAATGCAACACACCTCTGCTTTTGTCATATAGAAGAAATAGCCTATATTTGAATGAGTTGTTAGTCATTGTTTAATTTGTGTTATTCTCGTTTCAGACATAAAAATGACATCAAAAATTTTCACATCCTCCTCATCATTATCCACAGAGGAGAAGAGTAAGTAAAAAAATCAAGTCTAAAAATAAAATCTTATATTTTTATTTCACCATAAGATTTTTAACTTGAGATTGATCTAAACAAACCAAAGTTTAAATTCAGTTAAATTCATTATACCAGGGGTACTCAATAAGCTATAATTACAAAATTATTTTTTATGATGTGAATCTACTACATGAACATCCATTCAGAAACTAGTGTTCAGAAAAGAACAACCTCTTATTTGTCCTGCTCTGTGATGTGTTTTATGCTAAACTTGCAGGCTTACCTTAACAAGACATTTGATTTCAGGGACGTTTCATAATTTGATGTTGATTATGTCTGTTCCAAATTGTCACATTTGAAGAAAATTAAATTGATAAAACTGGTAATTGATAAAATATGGAAAAATGAAATGTTAATTAAATGTTACATTTAATAATACACCAGAACAAGTCTTTTTTTTTTTTGAAAGGTGATGTTGCTTTCTTTTTGCTTTACAATCAACAGAACCCAAAATATACATTATTGGGGACAGCTACATTCGCCGTGGGGAAAAACACGCAAGGGAGACCATCGGGACCAACCTTGGTCTGGATGCCCATGTCCGGTGGTTTGGCTGGGGTGGCATGGTTTGGAGAAACCTCCTATCCTTTTTTCATCAGTGCCTTCGAGGAAGAGCTGTGCCAGATGTCCTGTTGATCCACTGTGGCGGAAATTATCTTGGAAACATTAAAAGTGTGAAGCTCGTCGCAGGGATCAAGTAGGACTTGCAAGACCTCCATTGGCAGATCCCTCAGATGAAAATCATCTTCTCTGCCATCACCCAGTGACGCCGGTGGAGGTCTGACCACCCAAAGAAAATTGACAAAGCCCGGCGCTATGTCAACAGTGTGCTGGCTGCCTTTATTTTGTCTATTGGTGGAATGATTGTTCATCATCCTCAGATAAAGCATAGAGATCCTGGACATTTTTTGCATGATGAAGTTCATTTAACCCCTCTGGGAAATTATATTTTTTTAAGCAACATTGCCTGGCGTCTGAAAGACCAAATCCAGTAGGGTGATGCTGGATTTGGATTTCCCACCAAAAGTTTCGGCATTAAAATGTCCAGGATTTTTATACTTTATGTGATGTTTAATGTGCACTCTTTTGTTAATGTAAAAAGGAAATCCATCACACTGTTCTGTCACAGCTCTTCCTCTTCCTCCCCCTTCTTCTCTTTTATCTTCTTAAACCTTTGCTTTACCCCAGCCATTCCACCTGACAGACTTCCTCAATTTTCCCCACGGTGAATGTAGTCTGGACTTTGTTTCTGGTTCTGCTTACTTTTGTATGAATAAATATATATTTTAACTTTTATGCAAGCCTCTTTATTTTTAGTGAAATAATTCAAGGGTAATTTTATTGACCATAAAGTCCTCAACCACATTACATGATGTTTTATTGTTTTTTTGTCAAAGAAAATACTCATACTCCTGTGATGAAAACAGAAGATATGCTTGTCTCAGATAAACAGCTTTTTAAATTATTCCTAAACAAATCCGAGTTACTGCTTCTGCCAATATGTGTAAAGGAGGTTACATAAGAGAAGTGAGTTATGCCATTATTATTTAATCGGTATTGATTTGTTCATCTTGTCTATGTTTAACATTACTTTCTTATTACAACCACAATGTGGTATTTTAGAATGATTTTTGTTCATTTACAAGACAGATACTCCAATATTAAAGGGATAGTTCAACCAAAAATGAAAATGACCCCACCCCATTTACTCACCCTCAAGACAACCTAGGTGTATATGACTTTCTTCTTTCAGAGCAATACAGTCAGAGATATATTAAAAAATGTCCTGACTCTTAAGGAACTATCCCTTTAATGTAAAGAATCACATAAACAATATTGATGCAATACTGATTACAATACACATTTGGTGAGTCCTCAACGTTGTCACCGGGTGGCAAAGGGGTCTGATTCTGAGGTAGCATCTGTAATTACACACATAAAGAAAAGAAATAATCAAAAACAGTTCTAGTTAATTGTGAAGCTTATGCCTCAAACCTTAAGTGAGGTCTGCCC